TTCAGTCCAAAAACACCAGTTGTGCCCTTCTCCAGAAACAAGAACCCTAACTCCCAATTTTGTGAAATATTGTGCCAGTTCATTAGCTCACAAGATTGCACTTTTAAGAATTGCAGGTTTAGTGCTAATAGATACACTTTACCCAACCTTCCCTCCAAGGAGCTCAGCCTGATATCCATGGTCCCCTTTTTGCTCTTACAGTACTTTCCTTCATACGAGCCCTGGAGTTAATTTATTGTGTGAGAGTGTGCCTCTCTCATGGTCACCAAGTAAGCTTCATGACTGTCTACTGTAGCAATGAAGTCTGCTGAAACAGTATTCCTCACACAATCATATCTGGTTTTATAAAATATTTTGAGTTGAACTGGTGTGTGTTTCTCTCTGACCATTCTAAATGAAAGATACAGCTCTCTGTGTACATCTAGTAAATAGAAATGCACAGAAAGGATTAGTTTCTATTGCACTGGATTGCAGGGTAAGAACAAGCCAGATTAACAGTAGGTATGAGCTGGTTGTTTGTGGCTACTCCATATGTTTTCCTAGCTCAGATACATTGTGATAATATATTGACATGTAACTGCCCTGGAATAACTGCGAAATTCTTCCCTCAAGAAAAACCAGGATAGATGCCAGCATTAAGTATTTCCAGAAGTTCTGCAGACAGTGTGTGGGCTGATAAATATTTTCTGTCCTTAGTGTGCTTATTCCAGTACAGTATGAGGCATCCACCCTGCCCTTCCTTTACTGGTAACTAAAATCATACAACTCATTAACATTTCTCAGATATTTCCAATAGTTTGCCTTGATGTGAGAAACTCTGCAGACTTTGGGTTTCATTACCACAAGATCTAATACAGACAAATACTATGATGCTATGTTTGTATTACCATTTACTATTTGCATAACTATCTTCTTCTGTCCAAAACAGATACAATCATGTTCTCCCATTATCTTTCCCAAATATTTTGTCCCAAAGACCCAAAAGCTTCCTGTTGCTTGGCCAATGGACAGTTGACCTAATCATATCCCAGGCTGCCGATCTGAACCACAAGAAGACTGCAGTTTCTCCGTAGACTCAGTGCCTTTGTATGCATGGTATTCTAAGGCCTTGTTTTTTCTTCATCTTGGAAAGGAGAGGGTGAAAACAGGGCCATCTTAACGCATGGACCTGATGGGCACTTGCCCGTGGGCCCCATACCAATCTGTGTAAGTTAACCCTTGGAAAATTGGAAAACTTCCAAAATTAACAGTTATTAACAAAATTAACAAAATTGGAGAAGCTCTAAGTATGATTGCTACTTTCATTCTCCATCCATTCTACCAAATGCTTGTACTGCTCAACAAATGATGATTTGATAGACCATCTGATTCCATCCTGGAGCCTCTAATCACTTCTTAGGAAAACCACAAGTCATTATTCTTACTGGTATCTTTCTGTACAACTGAAAGAAAACAAGTCTAGTTAACTATACCCCACCATCTATGCAGGGTTAGAAACCTAGTAATGAAAAACTGAAGCTGACTTCTTTGCTTGGAGTCCAGACTATCCCAATGGAATATTATAGCTAGGAAATGTTGGAAGCAAGTGTGATGGTGGGCTTGGGCAAGTTTTCCCACAAGACATGAGCCACGCCAGTGTTGCTTATTCACATTCTCATTCTGAAGAGGAATGTTTTGATAGGATTGAAGAGCAGGAAGGTTCTGGGACACAGCAGCGAGTAGAACCACTGGAGATTAGCTCAAGGGCAAACAAAGGGACAGAGTAGGGTGACCAACCCTAGGAACAATGTGAAGATTCAGGAAGTGGGAGAGCCTGTTGAGCCTGGGGAATCTTCAAACGGAGATCAGCCCCTCCCCTCAGAGCTAGCCCCCATGGCTAGATAGCAACAGAGGTGAGTAGCTCAATTGATTGAGAAGCATGTGGAAAAAAGGTGCACTTGCTTTCATAGCTTCCTTCCCTGAGGGTTGGGTCACAAAGAAGCTCATAAGGAGAGTTTTACTGCTTTAGACATGCTCAGAGACCTGACTGGATTATTTATGTATAGAAACAAAGAAGACAGTTTTTGCTGAGAACAGCTTGAGGCTGGTGATTGTTGGAGGAAGGAAACGCAGATCACGACAGGATGCAGTACCAAAGTTAAGCATCTTCTTACCATAAGAACTGGTAAGATTCATAGTGCTACGGCATATTAAAAGGAGTAATTTTGAGGGAGGGCTACTAATTTCCTAGGTGAAACAGGTTCATCACAAACCACACATGTGGGTAAGGAGAAGAACATCTATCAATGTAGAATTCAGTGATACTGGAAAAATGTGGTGACATACACCACATGGAACAGACTCCCCTCTTACCAACAGATCTTGCTAATGTCAGGAAAGTACATAAACCTGCCTCGGTGGAGCATGTGGCGGTTTGGGAAAACGTAAAGAACCATAGGAAACCCAAGAAACATTACCTGTTTAAGCAACATCAATGCTGTATTGGGAGTGCCAGTCATTACTACAGGAATTCCAAAAGGAGCAATGTACACCTGAAGAAAGTATATGCTTGAGGAAAGTCCAAGACCCAGGAGATAGCAGCATCATTACTAAGCAGTTACCGGCCCATCACACAAATTTTCATGTGTGTGTGTCTGTGTGTGTGTTTGTATTTGTATTTGAATTGGACCCCAGTTAGACATTTCAGAAAACATCCTGTTCCTGCTCAGGACAAATTGAGTCTGTCCACTTAGATCTCAGTGCTGACCCTGAGTCATAATTCAGAAAAACGAGCCTTTGTTTATCCTGTTCACTATCACATGAATTATTTTTTAAGTGCTGTAACATTTTTATCTTGGTTAGAATTGGATGACAGTTTCAGGGAAAGTAGCACCTTAAGAAGAGATTACAACTGTCCAGTATCAGAAAAATAAGTGTGAGGGATTTTGTGCTATATGCCTATATTTTGATTTCCTTTCAAAGGGAATTGCTGATTTTTAAAAAATTTCTTGGCAGAATTGAATTTAAAAAAATGAAGATTTCTGTTCCATCTGAGGAGACCACATCTGCCGAACTACATAATGATAGCTATAGGGGATTTATGGAAGAGGGGCCATGAGATTTGGAGGGCCTCTTAAAGAAGGCAAATGCATCTCCCTAGATTCTTTGTGGACCATTGTTCGGAAAGTCACAAGCAACCTAGAGGTAAGTCAGGAAGAAACCCACAAAATTTCCGAAGGATGGGTGCAACAGAAGTACAGTTCTCTGATTTGGGGAGGTGGGAAATTAGTTTACCCTTCCCTTCATTCCACTTTGTTTTTTAAGTAAATTTGCATGAAGGGGGCACAAGTAAGAGTGGTGTCCCTAGGCAAGAAATCTGCAAACTTTCTGAAGCATAGGAACAAGGACTAAGGAATTATGATGCTTGAAATGCAGTTTAAAGCTTTTTAATGGTGAGGCATGGTGGCAGTGGAAGAATGGCCATCTTATGACTAGAACTGGTGAAAGGAGGAGAATTCTCACAGCCAAGTGGCTCCTTTCAGAGGGCTTTGGAGGACTTTCGGAGGGTGTGGAAGGTGTGTGAGGGTTGCCCAGTCTTAAATTAACTTTATGTAGTGAGGCAGCCAAGGACTTTTTCTTGATTTTTTAAAATATAAAACCAATTTAAACCCCACACCCGCCAGCATATGTATATCTGGACTGCCTTGGGTAATGTCTATACATAACTGTCCATAGGTATAGTGGCATATTTTCCTATACATAAACTACACAGAGCTACGCAGTATATGCATCCTTTGTAATAGATTCAAATGCTGTGTAAGAAAACGGTAACACTTTTTTATTTTACTTCATTTGACTGTTGCTTTTGCTTTTGCAACTCACAGTGATTTTTTAAAAGCACCTTCAGAACCCCTCCTGACATTGTCCTCTTTGAATGCTAGGAATAGCAGTGTGCAACATATTCAGTGGGCGCCCATTGCTGACTGAGGTTGAGTAGCTGCAGTTTCCAGCTCATTACAGCACTGCTGGGACTCGTGGGTAAGTTTATCTGGGAAAGGGCCTGCTAGCCAGCAGTAATACTGCCAGGATCAGCACTTGCAGTGCTAGGGGGCTCCCATGAGGCATTGGTCATGCTGTTATGGCTTACGGTCCCTGGAAGTTGCCCATGTGCTGACCCCAAGCCTAAGTAGCAGTGCTACTGTCAAAACTGTGCTGTTGATTTTGGTCAGAACACATCTGTCTAATTTCCCAAAAAGGGCTTCCCATTTTGTTTATAATTTCACAGTACAATGCAACATTTACAAACCTATTTACATATTTTTCCATGAGTATTCTTACACTAAACCAGATTAAAAGTCCACATAGTCCAATATTATCTACAGCGAATGGAGGAATGATTAATTCCCACTCTTACTGCCTGAGGCTTCTAACTGTGATACTGACTTCTAGGCTAAAAGACACAATTAGACAGTTGCACTGTCCATTTCTAGTGGGTGGAGCTACTTTTGTGTTTGTCACACCAAGCCTACTGGTCAGCTGACTGGCAATATGATATACGTGTACTAGTTTCTTCAACATGTAAAAACTCACTCATCATTCCTGTTTCTTTTCTAAAGAGTCTCCCATTTATATCTTTTCCCAAGTGGAAACTATTCCACAGGTCTGATTTTGGTGGCCCTTCTCAGCATTTCATCCAATTCTGCAAGGAAGCCTGGTGAAAAGCAACAAAGTTTTGTTTGGGATCCTTGTATCTACTTGAGCATACAAAAAGCAGATTAGCTTTCATCAGAACAGCCAGAGGTGAGTTATTTTTGGCTCTCATGCTGCATGCTACTTCCAACAATTAGTTCAGTGATTTTACTTTACAAGTCACATAAAATACATTTGCTAGCAACTTGAGGTTTATATCCCCAATTAATTCCTCATGTTGCTAATTGCAGGAGCATATATATTTGGCTACAACATTCTAGTTGCCATGTGATTCTGCAGTATAATTCAGGAAGAAAAGGGACATTGCTTACCTTTTCTGCATCTTGTTCAAATAGTCGAAGTTGAAAGCACTGATCTAGTTTCAGCTTGCGGACATGCCACATCTGATGTAAGTGTTGCCGTGTTGAATGCAGTTTGTCCAAAAGGCTGGTGATCTTTGGCACAAGGCTTTGGAAATCTGCACTGCCAGGAATGCAGTTCCTACCAGAAAAACCATCACTGCACCTTATGCATTGCAATAATCTCTGACCTTCACGGTCTAATTCTTCTACTGGAGCTTTAATTACTTTCTTCTTGAGTTGTGTGTGTTCATCTATCAATCTTCTTGAACCCTCCACATCCACTGGAAATTCCTTCCTAGCCAACATTTCCTGAAGGTCCTCTAGTCTGGATAACAAATGGATAGCACTGTTGAAAAACTCTTCCAGGGAGACTCTCAACTCTATCCATTCATCATGATTGTAATCCAAGGATCCTTCAAATTCCTCTGTTAGTTGGGAGGGATCCACCAGTTTTGCTAGGCCTTCAACGGAAACCATACTTGTCTAAAGATAGGAAAATATATTGAAATATGATTCAATTTTCAGTTAAAAACATAAATGCTATAATATTGAAATTCACAAATTATTTATCAAGTCATCAGGTAGTGTCACAGAGAGACACTAAAAGGAAAAGGGACCCTGATAGCCAGGTGTAACAAGGTCCATTCCCCTTCAGTCCATTTCATGGCAGTGACTGTAGAATTAATCTTGGGAAGCTGGCAAAGGTAATGGCAAGAACTCCTTGAAGACCCTCTGTAACTTGGCCATCACTCTCAAAAGTGTAAGAAAAATCAGGGCTTTCCTGCAATGGAAGCTGAGTAAGGGGGGCCTTTTACAGAAATGGCAGCAGCATCACAGTTTTTTTGAAAGGTACTCTGTGTCCTTCCAGCTGTTTTGGAGTGTGATTCTATCACTACAACAAACACTACTGTGAAAGTACATATCCCATCTCCCTACCCTATGCAATATTATTCAGGATGCCTTTAGAATGCATTAATTGAAAGATGAACTTAAAAACTGAGTCAGCTTTATATCTGTGCATAGCTTCATATCAGTGCTACCATCCTACCTTCTGTATTGTCCAGGGCTTTTAGCAAAATTGATGAACACTGGGTTCCATTTTTATGTTAATTTGTATTCTCCTTTAACAGTAACAGCTGACTTCTCTAGTCTAGTTCTATTGATTCTCCTCTGATTACTCATGCAGGGATGCAGATACTTTACAAAGCTTTTCACAAAAGGTCTATACAATTCGACCTATTCATTTCCATTTTACAGTTAGAGATCTTGAGAACTGAGTGGTTGGGCTGAGCTATTTTTTCAGTGCTACTGCTAAGTGAGAAGCATTAAACACTTATGTCATGGGGTATATCTTCTGGGAGATACAAATGCAAACAGGGCTGCATGCGCCAAGCTCTCTGCACAGAATGGCATCTGTTTTTTCAAAGTAGAGTTCTCTGGGCTCTCCACTGCACTGAAGACATTCTTGTGGAAATACACATTTAGAATGCAAGATGGGATTTGGTCAAGATAGCCCAATGAGCTGGAATCTGCAGCCAGATTTCCCATATCCAAAATCAATAATCAAGCCAATGGCACCACATATTGACTTTTTATGAAACAGTTGCCTTGTTAACGGGTTGCTTTTAAACTTATGTATTTCACTGAAAGTACACTTTTAGAGAGCATTAGGGACTACATTTACTATACTTTCATTGCACAAGGCTTAAGAATTTGTATTTTCATTTGATTACACTTTCAGGAGAAAGCTTTTCTTGAATAATTGCTTTTTTGAGGCTAAAAGTGGCCATTAGAAACATATTTGTGGGGGTGGGGACTCCAAGAAAGTTTTGGCAACATACCCACTTTAAGCTGAAGCATGTATTCTATATCACCATAAATGTAAGTCTGCCCCATTGCCCCTAACTATTCTGGCATGAATGCTCCCCTAAGTGGATATGTGATATTTCACTGAATTCTGCTATTTGAATTATACATCCGTTATGCAGGTTTCAGGCGTGCGACTGGGAGCAGGTGCTTTATTTTGCCAAAATACACATCTCACTGTTCCTTATTTTCTTTCAGATTATTCCAACTGGCCTTTCCCACAGGCAGATCACATGCTTCCATCTGGTTGCTATTTTTCAACCTTAAGTGTGATTAAGGCAAATTAATGTAAAAACTAAATGCCACTGGAGTATTTACGTAAGAACTAGCAAAAGATATAAAGAGTCACCTACAAGTCACAATGATATATAGAACTTCTATTGCCTATCTTGTTTTGCAACCTTCATCTTGTTCATCCTCTCAATACTCCGGGAAGGTACTTGATTATTATTCCAAATTGCAGCTATGGCATGAAAGCCCAGAGACAGAGTTTTATTATACAAGGCCATTCAAAGCAAGAGTTTGAACTAAAGCTTGTCAAGGTTAGCTCCAGCATTTTGGGCAATAGACCACGTTAACTATCACTCAAGTAACACCATTATAATTTATAGTATAATTTAAATTATAGTAACACCTATAATTTAGGCCTTGTTGGGAGGCTGGGAAGTAAAATGGGTTTCTGTCTGTGAAAAGCAGCTCAGAATTCTTTGTAGGGAAAAGTGCTTACACAGGTAGTCTGCAAATAAAGATAACTATTTGCCCATGTATCATGTAGCACAATTTGGTAACTGTTTAGGTTCCCATGCATTGCTTCATAGACAATGAAACCAGCCATTCACTTCCTCTCATATGCTAGATTTTTACATACACTTGCACTCATTATTCTGTAGTTTAGCTATTCCCCTTTTTGTTCCTAAAACTTCTGAAGTGACAGTTATTGGCTAAGTTCACAAGATGAAACAACCCACACTTGCAATAAGCCACAATGGGTTGGGTGTTTAGCAAAGTACCCACGATGAGCTCAGGGTTATCAGCAGTAATTCACTCCTTCCCTCTCCCTCTTTTACCCTTGTTTCTCCAGAGAACATTCCAGGGGACACCAAGGAAAAGAACAAGTCCTCTCTCTTTGGCAGCTGCAATTGTGAGATGATTTTGGCATTTTTTTTTGCCCAAGATGGCAAAAGCAGGCTGCAAAATAGCCTTGAGTTGTCCCTTCATAGTGTCACGTAGCAACTTTGCTGCAGAAGACCTGCCTGCCTCCCATTTTTATGAAGTTCTTTTTGCACCAGCATTTTGTTCCTGAGTTGTCTCCACTACACAGACAGGGCTCCTTCCCTGAAGTGCAACAGGGGCCAGTTCTAGCCTTAGCTGAAGCAAAAGGCAGAGGAGGTGTGCCTGCAGACCCCATGCAGCGTGTGCGCCTCTGCACTGTGCCCCAGCCAAGCCTGGAAATCCCACCGCCCCACCACCAAGCTTGCTAGCTTGTGAAACACATGGCACCCAATGAAAGTAAAGGCGCAAAGCATCGTTTGTTACGGAGGATTGTTTGGTGGTTTGCAAACTGTATCCCTTTGCCAGCAAGAGCCTTCTCTTTTTATGTGTTCTTCTTGGGTTTTGATGAGGGTGCAACTTTCCCCCTTTGGCCCAATTCTCCGTAGTCTCAGGGAATGGTCAAACTGTTCCCCCACCTTTTAAAAGGGAAGGGAGCTGAGCTACCATACTCCATTTGAAGTGCTACCTATTTGCATGAAAGTAGCTCTCCTTTGATACCAAACAGGGTGGGTTGTTGTGCTGTATGAACCAGATCATCATCCAGTTTTTGAAAGGGTGATTATTCACAGTGGGTTAATGCAATTGCTGTATGGAAAGCAAATTCATTCTTGTACTCTCTATTTCTCCTGGGGAACACCACATGTCGAAAGAAAAAGTTTGTCAGATTATGGAGAATCTAGAACTGATGACTTAGCTACAATGGGCAAGAATTCACCCTGGGAACTCAACTCAGCTCTAGCCATAGGAAAGAACTTCAAAGAACCTAGTGTGGCGGCCAAAACAGAACTTACCATTTTGGGAACCATGCTTTAGTTCTCTGATTCTAATGAGATCATGGAATGTACCAGAATAAACTGCATTTGGAGAATTTTTGCAAGTTTGAATGAGTGGACTCATTCCATGTCAGTATTTTGAAAATTAAAAAGGTATCACACGACTTTAAACACCTTGCCTACCAAGTAGATCTAGCCCCCCACCTTGACATTCCTTAACATCCATTGTCAAAGAAGGAAATAAATCCATTAATGTAATTGGTAATCACATAATTTGTATTATAATCACATATTATGATGCTTAAACATATGTATATTATATTTGGATTGTTAAAAGTTATTTCAATCAGTGAAACTCAGAACATAAGATTTCTTGCCCCATCTCCCTAGCATTCACATCAGTTCCAGTTGAGAAATATGGAGATTTTCCCTTAGATACTAAAAGTCCAAACAAGTCTTTATTTATACATTTCTTTGTAAATATTAAGAACAGGATGTTATGGCTATAACATATAAGTAGTCTCTTTTAATTTACATTTTTCTTAGATTCTTGTATTTCAACTCAATACATCATTTATCCACTGCTACATAATGCAGTTCCAATGAAAGTGTAAGTGGATGATTTAAACTAGGTGAAAAACAAGGTTTGGGAGGAACCAAATGATTAATGTGAGAACCTGTCAAGACAGTACTTTGCTTCTACTTTAAGAAGCACCTTCTCCCATCTGCACTCTGCTTGTTTCATAGTTCTAGAAATGAGGTTCTACTCTTCAGATCCCTGCACTGACAGGTCAAATCTCTCTGTACAGAACAGAAATATGCTCTGGCACCTTTTTAAGAAAACAGCTTGTCCAGAAACATCTGCTGGGCACCATTTCTTTGTATGTTCTTCTAAGGTTTTGCTACTGTATTTCCAAAATGGTTCAATTTTGTTCTTGCTATTCTTGACTTTCTACTTTTGTTGTTCTATCTAAATTTTCTAAATTTGGACTATTGTTTAAAATGTTTGCTTTAATATCAGTTTATTTCATTAAGCACTTATGCTTTATCTTGACATTTTATGGGTGAGAAAGATCTTAGAAGCTTTCTAAATGAACTAGAGCTAAACTCTCTTTCCCAGTTTAAAAGAGAGCCAGTAAAACACACTAACCCATTCTTTCTCTGGTGGAACTAGACTTTATGACACACATGAAGTTCTCACTGGAACACATACGTATGTTTCTAGTCCTCCCCATCTTTATAACATTTACTAAAATTCACTGAGACTTTCTCACTGCCAGTAGGATCAGCCAGTGATATTATTTGAAGATAGAGAAACTCAAAGCATAACGCCATTGTGTCACATTGTGAGCTTCAGTAGACATTGCAGGTAAGTGAAGTAAGACATGGGAACACAATTTTTGGTGGCTGCAGTTGAAACATGGCTCAAATTTGCCATGTCCTACTTAACATATAAATGGCATCATACAAAATGTCCAAAATATTGTGAGCACGTTTTTCCTGAATATATCCTAGAATCTTCAGAAAATTCAAAACATATTACTGTATACATAAAAGAGTGTTTCATTCAATTGTCTTTGCAATTATTGAGGCAGTTATGTATGTATTAAGTCAGTCAATCCTTCAAAAAAGGGAACTCAAACTTCTAGAGCTTACTTACTGGAAAAATATTAAGGCAATTATTAAATTTAACATAGAGTACTCGTTGAATTTTCCCTGCCTAATTTTTACATCTACTTGAAAACTATTCGCTCCCTGTCAAAAACGGCCTTTTTGACACAAAGATATGACAGGAGGCCTTTTTGTTTAAAGCATTCTGCAGCCACATTTATTATTCAGATAGGTTCTCCCTGGAGAATTTGAGATGAATAGGAATACATTATCGAACTTCATCAGGAAGGGAGAAGGATGTGCAAAGACCAGGTAAGAGCCTATGAGCTGTCATATTGCTCTCCATTTCAGATGCAACCAATCAAAATCACAGGCTGCTCATTCAATCTTTTCAGGAGAAAAGAAACATAATTTACAAAAGCACTTCTGAATTAATTACAAGGAGGCTTGTTGGGTCATCTCTCTTGTTGACAGCAAGCTTCTAAAATTTGCATTAGTCAGTCAAGTGTCAGCCTTGCTCTTTTCTGCTTACCAACAACTTATGACTGACTGCACCCTCAAGGGAAAATATAAATGTAAATCTGGCTGTCTCCGGGGTTGTTCAAGTGTCAAAAGAATCAACTCTAGTGCAGATTTTTCTGCAGAAGCAGCTGCCACAGTAACAGAGCTTCTGTAGTCATCCCACCCTCATCACCTGAGGGCAGTATAATGTTTCAAGCTGACACTGGCCAGTATCAGTGACTTTTTCATTGTAAAGATTTCAAAGAATTTGACTGAGGCTAACTATTTGTCCCTGTATATTTTGCTTAGACTGCATAGCAATTGTGCCATGAACACACATCAACAAGCCCAAGCATAAAGAAAATGTCTGTGAAAGCTGCATTTACCAGGCCTAATTTTCAGTTTAAGTACAAGAACAGGGTTTCTTGTTTGGTGTATATGTAATCTGCACCCATATTAAAACTCCTCATAATTCACTATCTTACCTCAAAGATGAATTTTGAACTTCCAAAATTTGTCTTCTGTTTCTGCCAGAAGTTATCGGGCTTGATTATCAGGGCAACATGAATTTCCGCAGGGAAGGCCTCCTGGAGGGTCTTCAAGAGAGGCTTGATCAGGTCCCATTTAGACCCCCTCATATCAATGATGACAGTAAACCCTCGTTTGCAGACATCTTCACTGTAGGGACAAAACAGGGGATAAATAGAGTGCCTTCAGGAGCACAGAGTAGGGCTTACAGACATACAGTGCTGCCATCAAGCACAAGTCCTGTCTTGTCAGACTTACTTCTTTTCTGAAACAGGATGTTACAGAATCATAGAACAATAGAGTTGGAAGGGGCTATGAAGGTCATCAGGTTCAACATCCTGCTATTGCAGGACACCAATTTATACCATCCCACTCAGATGGCTGTCCAGTTTCGCCTTGAATGTCTCCACTGTAGGTTCCATTGTCATATTGCTCTGACAGTGAGGAAACATTTCATGTATCTAACCTGAATCTGGGTTGCCCCAGCTTGAATTGACTATTAATAATTGATTGTTATGTCTTACACTCTGGTATCAGCAAGGGATCTTGACCTTGCTCTTTGTGACAGCCTTTGGGGTACTTACAGAGTGATATCCATCCCCCCTCGGTCTTCTCTTCTCCCATGTTCTCTCATGTCCTCTGTCTCTCCTCATAGGGCAGTGTTTCTGAACCCTGGATTATTTTTGTTGCCCTCCTCTAATTTTTCTGCATCTTTCTTAAATCTCGCTACCCAGAACTGGACACAGTAGTCCAGATGAGGTCTGACTAGTGAGAAAAACAGGGGAACAACTACTTTCCATGGTTTGGAAGCAATACGTCTATTAATGCATCCCAAAATAGCATTTGCCCTTTTTGAAGCTGCATTACATTGTTGGCTCAGATTTAGCCTCTCAGTTCCAAGAGTGAGAGGTACTTTCTTCCTAAACACCTCCACTGAAGCATATCCTATTTTTCACTTGAGTAACATGTACCTTTACTCAAATGTTAACAAAATGTTTTAAATGTACAATCATACAATTTTAAACTAACCTTGTGGCATAGTTCATTCTGAACTGCAACATGAAATAGCTAGTTTGCTGAATATCTTTGACTGAAAACATATTAACACTTTCCAAATGGAATCCAACAAATGCATTAGCTGAAATAATAATAAAAGAGCATATATAACATATGCAATTTCCTGATCTCTATGATGGATGTGTACATGTGTTTATCTATTATCTGCATATTGTGAAGATACTGTTGATAGCCTTACTGTTGCAGAGAGCAGAATGGAAAAGAACAATTTAAAAGATTTCAAAATGCGACTTACATTTGCCAGGGAGTTTCTTATTACAAGTGATGTCACAATATTGCTTGCCTAACCTCAACCCATACATCACTCAATGGAAATGCTTGTTAGTACTTACTGAAGAACAGCGATTTGAGATGTAAAGTAAATTTTGATGTTACAATGCTGTTGCATTGGTTTTATTTTGATGTTCTTTTGTAACATTCTTTGTTTTCATCTGTATAAGCTGCCTAAGCTAAACATTTGCCTATATATATTGTATAGAAGAATTATATTCATTTTTTAAAAACAATTAAATCTCCATAAACTATCTGGAGTGGTAATCTTTTGCTGTACCCCTTTGCAACATGCAAAGAGAATGCAAGAATAACTGTTTGGTACATGAGAGCATGGATCTAGTGAACTATGGAAAGACAAAACATGGTTATACACTGGTGCTCTTCATGCTAAATGGTATCAATTGTATCATAAAGAAATCAAGCTTCACTTTATGCAGTTTCCTGTTAAAAAGGTTTCTGCTCATGCCTTTTGCTATTATTTCTTTCTTCAGTGAATCAATTGCTTATGAGTGATAAACAGCTTCTAATATTTGGAATTATATTTCAAGTTTTCTGTGAAATGTTATTTTTACTGTTATAAAACATGGAACATTATTTATTTAGACTATTTTATATCAATAATGAGCTGAACTGCTCTCCGAAATGCTTTGCAATACATTAAAATTATAAAAACCCATAATCCCAACCAAAAAAAGTACATGTAAGCCAAACACAACATTTAAAATATAAGCCCAACAATAAACCAAACAGAACCCCATGCATAATCCATAACAAGTACCAACAAGGAATCAGGCAGGGAGTAACCAGAAATTCAAGATAAAATACCATGTAAAACATAATACACAGTATAAAACTTAGCTATTAAAATATTCAGAAAACAAAAAGTTTTTTGCCTTGAGCCAAAAAGAATAAAGAGTATGTTGGTTGGCTGATTTTCAAAAGCTGGCTGAAGATCATCCATCTCCTATGTTAAGTTAGCATCTAGATATTTGCACTGGCTACCCTGGAGCATAAGACTGTTAAAGTTTGTTCTGACTTTGCAATTTGTTACTCTGCAATCAGTAATGTATTATTCTTGAGGGAAGTAACTAATGTCATATCAGCTTCATTATTCAATAATAAAAACAAATTAGCTTTGGAAAGTTTTCATAATTACATAACAAAAAAGTGAATTTGCAAAGTCACATGCTATAGATCTGCGAAACCACAGATTGGCAACAAAAAACTTAGGCTCCCCTATATGTATCTTTTATATTAAGTTGTCAACGGGGATGTTAATTCATATTTAAATTTGCCCTTAACAAAATGTGTGGAGTTTGCAGAAACTATACATCTCTTCAGTGTTCCAGCTGCAGATACGAAGGAAGCTATGCCTTGCAGTGCTTTGGATCAAAATGGAAAAGTCCTAGGCTACCTGAATAGCCCAAGAAAAAGCCAAAATATAATAAAAAAGGAAGAGATGGGAAATTGCCTCAGGAATGTTATTTGCTGATGAGCAGATACAGTGCTGAGATACAATGCATTTTGATATCAAGAGTTAAGATTCTGTATCCAGTCACTGATATTCAATCCTGTGAGGGGTAAATGAGGCCCTTACTGTACTTATTTAAAATAAAAATTATAAAACCAGCCCTTCAAGTGTGGAAGCATTCTGACCTCATCTGACGCTTAGCCATCTTCTCATGCTTGCTCACCCAGCACATATATCTCACTAAACAACACAGTCTTCCAAAGAAATGGTAATCAGAAGGAGACTATTTGGCTGGTAGCAGATTATCCAGAATTAACTAATAGTATCTGACAAGTATCTTCAGATGGTGGATGCTAAAATCTGCCATAAAGTTGAAGAAATGTGTGTGCAATTATCATGATACCAGACTGTTCAGATTCAGCAGATAAATACATGACCTGCAGGCTTTTTTAGGTGAATGCCATTAACCTAATTAAAGTATTAACAAGAGAGAGAAACAGCTTAGTGAAATGGAGAGTGAAAGTCTTGCTTCAGGAACAATCTTTTGACAGAGTAAAGAAGAGAAATCTTCCCAATCCTGTGTTATAGACTGTGCATGATCAAGTTTCTAAAATATCTCTGTTTCACCTACATATTGGACTGGTTCACACAATTACCAGGTGATTAATAAGGCATGTGACTGGCACACATAAGCCTCCGTAGCTTGTTAACCAGACAGACAATCATGAAACTCAGGATTCTATATATTAACTTGGCTTCTTGCAGCTGGAATTTGAAATAGTGATCTTCTTTTCTCTTCTTCAAAATGGAATTAACAATACCCTTTATTACAATTATCAGCCTCTATGTAATTCATATTTTGGACTAGCATGCCAAGGATTCTTTACCACTGGTGATACTGATGGAAGCTACACAAGACATTTATTGTGCCCTTGAGATTCCTCACTCACAGAAGTATACAGGGACTTTTCATGAGGTCGCCCTCCTGAGCCTCTCCCAAGTTTTCCAAACTTATGTGAGTGTGTGTATGCACTTAGAATGGGGAAATTGTGGTCTTATGTTTTAAATCCTGACAAACTGGAACAAAGTTCTGTGAAGACAAAATAGCCACCTATATTGTGGTTTTACCACAGTGTCACCTTATGGTTGGTTGACAGGATATGCAGAAAGGCTGAAAACTGCAAAACCATGTAAAGGATGCATTTTCCTCCACAGTGACAAAGGAAAAAAGAAGCTTCTGTACAGCAGCAATTTAAGCCCTCATGTATAAAAGCTTTAAAGTCACAAACATCTGTATAGGTACATTTTTTCCTTTGTTACATCAGATTGTTGTCTGCAGTTAAGAAAAAAACCATTAAAATGTTCAGTCACATACTGTCAATCTAGTAAACTAAAACTGCAACTAAATTCAAGTACCTCTTTATAAGGTATTCCAGTTCAAGTAAAATCCACAAAAATGTATAGATACAAACACTAATGAGATAATATTTTTTCAAAACTTTGGATTGATACATTCTGTATGCATCTTGGATTTTTGTCATAATAATTAATTAACCTTTGGAAGTGTTAAAGTCTTCAGTCAAGCACAGTCATGTGCTTTGAATTCAACTGACTGTTTTTAATCTATTAACATACAAGTCATTTACTACTTATTTACTTTCCATAATGATTACTGAGTTTAAAAGTAAGTGAATAGGGAAATTCTTGTCTTTCATACTAGGATAGGGAATAGTTGTTGGATTTTTGTTTGCTTGTTTGTTTAAGGTTAAAGTAGGAGAAACCAAGGGTCACTGCAATAGATGAAGAGTGCACAAGCTTAGCATCCCAGCTGGCCACACATGATTTTAGCTTGGGGGATGGAAACACACACAGTCCTGGTACAGATCAGTCTTTCTCACTGCTAGCAACAGCAAGGAAACAGCCATCTGGACAAAGATCTGTTTTGGGGGGAATACAGCATATTCTCTTTCCAATCTCCCTCAGTGATTCTGGTAGCACATTGCCTTCACTGGGAAGAAGCAGAAAAAGAGTGACTGGTATAAGGATCGCTGGGACAAGGAATGAGAGAAGTCTAGTCCTAAAAGGGGGCATAGTTACAGAATCGATGGGGTGTGAATTGTGCCACCCTGATATAGACCCGTATTACGCTTGTATGTTCCTTGGGTGCTATTAAATTTAGCCAGATTTTACTCCTGTGACATTTGAGTCTTTATGCCCCTGATAATATGTAGAGCACTATCACACACCGCACTACCAAGAAGCAGACACCCCCTCCCTCCACATCCCCATGCATCCATGTAATTTTAGGTTTACCAAAGGATATGAACCT